CATGGTTATATGCACAGACTCTTGAGGCAGACTGCATGATTTGAAAACTTAGCTCTGCTTTTTACTAATGCACAAATTGCTTAACTTCTTTATGCCTAAATTCTGTCATCTGTAAAATGAAACATCTGAAATTTCTAATACTCGATATTTTAACTTAGAAAAATGGCAGTTCCTTATGGCTAAAGGTACTTTTCTCATAAGTTAACTGAATTAATATTTGTAAAGTGCTTTAAACAATTCTCGGTCTATAATGGTATGTAAGTGCCCATTCAATAAAATGAAATAAAACATTAAAGCCACTTCTCAGTTTTGATGTTCCATGTTATCTACAAATTATTTATTTCCTTTCTAACTCCATTCATTGGACATTCATCAAGGAATTGCTCTTGTTCTAAGAGAAGTAGGGTATTTTCGATTATTAAATTCCTTGGATAGAGAGAGTTCAAAATGCCACAATTCAATTTACTTTCTACACTTTGCTTCTCTTGTATTCAAATTGCCTTCTTAGACACTATGCAATAGTTCTATGAAGCTTGTTTTGGTTATCTATGGTTCTTTTTACAATTTAAAATTAAAAAAATTTTTAATTGACGTACAGTTTATATACAATAATATGTAAGTTACAGGTCTATAATATAATGATTCATAATTTCCTATCTAATAGCTTCTACCTCTTAATTACCTACCCCCATATTGCCCTTCCCCTCTTCTCTTTCCCCACTGGTAACAATTAATTTTTTCTCTATAACTGTGAGTCCATATCTTTTTTTGTTATATTCACTAGCTTGTTGTACTTTTTAGATTCTGCATATAAGTGATATCATAGTGTATTTGTCTTTCTCTGTCTGACTTATTTCACTTAGAACAATGCCCTCTGAGTCCATCTATGTTGTTGCAAATGGCAAAATTTCACTTTTTAATGGCTGAGTAGTATTCCATTGTGTATATATACCACATCCTCTTTATTATCTGTGGTGCTTTTTAATGTGCTGGAAGAAGTTACCAAGAAATTACCAAGCTGACTACATTATGAAAAAAATTTCATAGATAGAAATTCAATTAATCAAAGAAGGTATTGAATATGCCCTATATTCTAAATCCTGTGCCAGTTAACTGCAAAAAATTGTGTTAGAAGGATTCAACTTAATTGTAGGAAGGGACAATGGGTCTCTGAGGCAAAAATCACAGCAAGTAACTAAGGAACGTTGTAGGATGTGCGACTCAACAGAAAGGTTTGAGTAGAGGGGACTGATGAATTTGTGAACATTATGGAATGGAGTTAGAACCCATGATATACCAGTCTTCAGAGACAAGTGCAGGCCTTGGTAGGAAAGAAGCTCACGGAGAGCTCTGGAGGCTAAGGGCAGACTGACACCACAGCATGACAGGAGGTAGATACCTACTCTATCTCAGTGCCTAACCAGGGTCCTCGAAGCCTGAAAACATTTGGCCCTGCCAACTCCAGTGAGACGTTTTGCTCTTCTGAGCCATTTTGGACTTTCTGTGGCTTGAGTACACCAAGCTCATGGTCTGAGTCCTGTACACTGGCCCCTCCCTCCACCTGCAGAGAGCTTCTCCTGGGTGTCCACAGGGCTGTAACTCATTATTCAGATTTCAGCTAGTCATTCTCTGTCATGTGTTTTGTTTAATGTCTTCATGACTTTACATCTATTTGAAAGACTGCTTTGTAATTATTTTTCGTTTCTCTCCACAGGGAAAAAAGGTCCATAAAGCAGAAAATAAGATTTCTTTTTTTGTTCTTTGTACCTAGAGGTCTGCTTGGTCTACAATGGGAAGTCAATAATTGTTTTTTCCCAAAGAGCGATGGTAAATAAAAGCTGAGAGGGAGAACGAAACACTCTCTTCTGAATCACA